GGGAGCCCACGGGCAGCGCAGCCTTTCCTGTGGAGGCGCAACTGCTGCCGTCTGCAGCATGAAGTGCAGCCGTAAAACACTTTGAAAATGCTAACCTTTTGGCTAGCCGCAAAGTGCAACAGCACCATGACCACGTAGAGGGGACAGCAGAGCACACAGCCCCCCCCATTAGCGGTAACACCCATATTACGAGCAGACCTGACGACACTCTGACAGCAGGACGGGAAGCTGACTCAGTTTGCTCACAGTGCCCCGCAGCCCTTCACCCACACTAACCTCCTAACCCCAGGCAGCACAGGAACCAGAAAAATAAACTTGAAACAAGACAGCATCATTTCATATTTGAGGTCTGATCTTTCACAAACAGCTGAAGACAAAGAAGAGAACACGAGCCTGTGCCGAGGGCTGGGGGGGCACCACCGTGCCTGGCTGCTTCACCGCCAGCGAGGCATCCGGGGCTGATCTGCCACGTGCTGCCAAATGGGCATCACCAAACTGGCTGCTATGCACAGCGTAACTGCTGCCCTGACGATTCAGCTTTCACAAGCAGAGACTGTTCAATGCTAAACCTCAAACTATTGCACTAAGTGACAGGAACAAAAAGAGAAACCCGAACAAACCCCACAGCCCCCTCCTCCTACCCAGCAAGTGCCACTCCTGTTTATCACAGCCCTGTTGTGAAAGTGGGCACTGGTCACGTTGCTCCAGTGTCCTGGCAACTCTATATGTGGGGGGAAGGAGGAGACAACTGGGATTGAAGCAGACAAATTCAGAGCAGAGGCTGATGAGGAAGGACAGCAGAACTCAGTATTTCACATTATAGAAAGCTTGGGCAAGGAATTTAACTCGGTTCTCACTTGCAAAACCCGCATCAATGCTATGATGCCATTTTAAATGTAACCTCTTGTGGGCTTTGTCGTCGGGTTTAAAAGCTTCTCAGGGCACAAAAAGCAATGCAAGAACCAACTCTTTATAAGGCAGTGACTGCAACCCACGCAGGGTTTAGGATCTCTCAGGAAAACACCAGTGTTAAAGATCTTCCAAAGTCTTCTATGGTTCATAGGCATAACCTCCCTTTCTACAGGATCCCGTGTCGTCTTGGGATACTCTGAACAAAGCCCTCCCCTGGCACTCTGCAAGCTGAGCATTTATTGCACCTCTAGGTTTTACCCATTCTTTTAGACTCAGCTGGGACACTCACCTCTCAATAAGTCTGAGAGCGGAGGACCACAATCCTCTGGAATTGTGTAGTCACCTTTCCCGATGTTTTCAAACAATTTATAGATATTATCCCCTTCAAAGGGGTATAGACCCGTTGTAATGTTGTATCTGTAAAGGCAGAAGGAGAAGCTGTATGAGAAAAAGCATACAGTTCAGTTCTTACGTGACTACGTAAACCCAAAGATGCCAAGAGGAAACTAAAAGATGAATATTTGACAGCATTTGGAATCCTCTTTAAGCTTAGCCTTCCTTTATCACAGCCTCTTCATTCACATGAGTCAAAACCACCAAGACATCTCCCTGACAGGCTGGGATGGAAGAAACTTAAAAATAAATACTAGAGATATTTGTGGTTTCTATTATTGCAGTATCTATGCATCTTGGATGCCGAGAAATGGCTGGCAGTTACTCGCCAAGAGTAAAGATTACTTTCTTCAGAACTACAAGCACTTTGGGGAACATACACCCACCCAAAGGAGGGACCAACACCCAGACACCGTCCCTGCTCCCCCCAACGACGTACAGGAGAGGAGCAGTGACAGCAGATAGCACAAGACTGAGCTATCTGGGGGCTTGTAACTTTTTCACTGCAATTCCTGGATGCTGCAAGGGCACTTACAGCGTAACCCCTGCGGACCAGATGTCTACTTTAAAGCCTGAAAAGGTGTCAAGGCCATTGGCAATTTCTGGTGGCTGGAATGCTGGCGACCCTTGGCTCGTTCTGCACGTGTCATCCTCTGCGAACGGATGCAATGCCTGCAGCAGGAGAGACCGATTAGTTTCAAACTTTCAAGGCAGACAAACTGTAACTGCTAGAAAAGTTTCACCTGGGGAAAAAAAAAAGGGGGAAGGCTCTGCTACTGAAAACCTACTTACATATGGCAAGCACACGCCACTGCAATAACCAAATGCCATCAGTGACGATTCCTGCACCGCTCCTACCTAGCTAAGACAGTCTTCATACAACAAGAAGGATGAGGTTTTGTAGCTTATCACCATTTCACCGCACTTTTCGCTTTGTCCGAGACCGCTGTCTTCCTCTATGTGCTTCCCAAATGGGAGCTCCGTGCTGTTACCAACAAAAGCGTTTTGCCAATTACAGTAAATATTCAGAGTCGCTCTAGAGCACTCTGCAACTTTAACAGAACGGAAGCCTAACCGCCCAATAAATCAACTGACACCACAGAGGTGACCTAAATCTAGAATGTCACGCTTCCCACATTCCCGACTTTGCCGCAGTTCTCACATACCTCTGCTACGCCTAAATCAGATATTTTTAGTGTCCCATTGGTTGTTAGCAGGAGGTTCCCCGGTTTTATATCCTTGTGGACAATCCCTTGGCTGTGCAAGTATTCTAAGCCGTCGATAAGCTGACAAAAATACCTGCAGAAAGAGTTAGAGAAGAAAAAGTCAAGCACTTCCACAGCCTGTGACTACGTGAACTACTGATAAGACATAAAGCAGACAGTGCTATTGTTGGAAACAAGTCGGAATACACTTCCATTTGATGCTTAGGAACTTGGGATTGAGCTGTGGTGTGTAAGAAATGGAACTTAATCTCTGACAAAGGCAGAAATTAGCTGCCAGAGCTCTGCTGCAGCGTGCCAACCACTTCAGGCTCGGGGCTCCTCCACACCAAAGCCCTCTTCACAACTCTGCGTATTCTGTGAGCACTCAGCACCACGCTGGCACAGACCTGACAGTTAATTCTGACATCTGCTTTAATCTAGGCTAAGTTAAACCAGCTAAAGATGCTTTTTCAGTGGTACAGCTTCCCCTAACAGGGGGTGTGAAAAGAAGTTTCCTTTAGCCAGCAGAAAGGAGTGTTTTGCTGGTACAGCCTTCCAGCTCAGCAAAGGTAACAGGGACATGGTCAGGGACTATGGGCAGGCCGTTACTGCAACGTAGCAAGCATTGGCAGCCTGGCAACAACTGTGCGTGCACGTCTTACCTTGTAATATCCAGAAATAACACCTAATGTGCCTGTACCTCACTTAGGCTAGCTGCAATCTCAAACACCTTTTTTAAACAAAATGAAAATATGACCATAAAAACATGTAGTTACCGCAGATCCGCCGGCCTGCACTGATTTCATACACACGACAATCTTCTTGCATCTATTTCCAGAACTCTAAGGTTTCTTTACTGCCACAGTGAAAGGGGCTTCAGATTATCCTGTCTACTAACTAAACAAGCTAACAGATCACGCTGGATATTGGCAATCCTTAATCCAGCCAAAGACCTTTAATCTCTTCTCTGACACTGAACTGTATGGCTTCCCTCCATTTAGGCAGGGCAAGTCCTCACGGATTCCTCCACTGCACCCATCCTCACTGAGCAGCAGAGCTGTAGGAAAGGGGCCGGGAAGCGTTGTCATGCACCTCATGAAAGAAAACAAAAGTAACAGAAAATTCCATAGAAAGATGTTTTTTCTTCCCAGAATCCAAGGGCCAGCCCTGCCACCACTTCATTTGTTTTTCATTTTATTCCATGGATGTAAAAGACGTAGTTATTACACAAAGCCCGTTTTACTTTAACGTGCAACCAGCAGTCTAAGCAAGGGAGTAGAACGTGCTCTTGAATTCAAGAGAGCACAGCGCTGAGGGGCTAAGGCAGCCCAAGGAACAAAACTGTACTTACCCGTGAGCCTGAAAAACTGGAAACCTCTTTTCTGGGACACTGTCCAGCATTTCCTGCATCCCACACACACAATACTCCATCACCATATACGTGAAGGCAGAGTTAAGGAAGCTTTGAGGTTAAACGCTTCTCAGGCAAAGGCTGTGTGAGGAGTGCAGCCCCGTTCCAGAGCAACCCGAGAGCTGCTGCACAGGCAGCCCTGTTACCTGGTACACCCCGGAGAGGAGAGACCGAGCTGTGCTGCACCTCCCGAGGCAGCGACCTTCCTCCAACCGCCTAACAGGAGGAGGCAGCGAACCCACAAGAAAGTTATTCTGCTTAACGCCCAGCTGCAACTCCGTGATCAGGCCTGAAACAGGACGTGAACTCCACAAAAATCAAGTTGGAGATCTCACAAGCATGACAGAAATGGGATAATACTCTGAAGCAGCAACAGAAAGTTAGGGAACCCCTGGCAGAATTGCTGTGGGCTGTCGCATGTTCTCCCAACACCGTGGCTGTTCTGCACTTGACATAGCAGAGAGGTCCCATCACCTTCCCCAAAGTTTGTTATTCTTCATTTCCCGTTTCAAAATGATACGGCTGTACGCACTTATTTAACAGCTGCCGCTTACCCCCATCCCCCCGGCAGTATTTCACCAGCAGGAGAAAGGATCCTTAGAGAGCTGGGAAGCCTTTTTGGAACTGCACGGGTAAAAAAAGTTAGAAGGGAATGCCAAGGACTGGTGGCACTTTTTAGCATTTGTTCTCCCTCGCAGCATATTCTAGTTTTCATCTCCTTAAGCTTTAATGTTGGGGCCAAACAATGGAAACTACACAACCGCCCAAAGCAACAACTGCCCGTGTTTCCCTCCTCTCCCTGGGCTTTTGAAGGCAGGCAGTGCGCTGAGAGGGGCTGCAAGCACGGACCCCGAGACATCTGGTGGCTTGGCCAGGGGAGTGCACCTTCAAGATAAAGACAGAGAAAAGCAGGACTGTCAGCTCACGTTCTCCAGTACACAAAGCATTCCTTTGGTCACTCTAATTATTCCTGGCAGATACCTTCTTAACCTAAGCCTAAAATAAGTTGCTTATGTCCCAGAATGCCATCTTAACTCTTGAGGCAGGAGAGGCTAAAGAGATGACCTGTGCTTTAAGTGGGATCCATGCTAAAAATTGTGTTGCCCTTTTATAGCCGTTCTATAGAGGAGCTCCAAACACCGGCCAAACTCATCACATTTGTGCTACGTTCCCCATATGAGCTGCTCTTCAGAGGGACACTAAAGCACTGTAAGATTTTATGACGGGCACAATGCCACAATCAGTAGGAAGCAAAAATAGCAGGAAGAGGCCCCAAAATTCATTCCTGCCATTTCTTACTCTTGAAGAAATCTGTGAACTACTTCTATCCCAGTCACGGGGAAGGCATCAACTCTCCCACCTTCAAGAGTATAACACTAACATAGACCAGCTCCTGGGAAGCAGAGCCCAGGCCACATTCTCCTCTACAAAGGACAGCCTGGGTTTGGTTTCATTTGCTGCCAGACTGTTTTTCACCCCTTCTTTTGTAACTGATCCACCTCTGGCTGATCAGCCAGATTAGAGCACAAACTTTCAGGCTGGAGCAGATCCATTACAGGTGCCCCAACAAGACTGAGGCTCACAGTTCTTCTAATCAGGAGCGCTGTGCTCCCACGCACAACTGCACATACCGGTAACAGAAGCTGTCGGGAGAAGGTGCCAACTGGGATGCTGCTTATCGAACTGGGTTTATTTCTGCCTGGATTTGTTCTCAATTTGTCACTGGCTCTGCATTCCCAGCCACAGCAGGTCAAAGCAGCCCATTAAATACTAAACCGCAGTTGATATTTTCAGTCCAATCATCACAGCTTTCCCTTTACCAAAGAAAATCCTTGAAGGCTTTGACTAGGCAGGCAAGCTGTTAAACGCTGTCCTCCCAAGCACAAACATAGCTGAAGCCCACAGTTCACTTCTACCAGCAGCAGAAGACTCAGGTGAGAACAGAATCCCTCCTTCTTCTACAGGCCCAATTTCAAATGCCACAATGGTCATTCTGGAAATGAGGACTTTTTTCATTAGTAAGGGAGAAGTTGACATCCCCCCCATACCCCACTCAACTTTCACCTTGTGTTGCTTCCTGCAAGGCACAAATCCAGGCATTTGTGTGACTACACAGCAAAACAAGTAAGGGCACAGACCTACAGAGAAGCCTAAAAGAGAAAGTTGCTTTCAGCTGGATCCGTTCCCAAAGCTGTTTACCATGTGGCTGCACAAGTGTTTGTACAGCCACATCCCTGGACATGCTGCACGGGCACCGGCAGCGCCAGCGAGAAGCTGGAGAAAGATTCAGCAAGAACATGATCATGGATGAATTCCTGCTCCCGGCCCCAGTGAAAAACACCACATTTCTCCGTGTGTTGCCGCTCACATGCGCAGAATAAGCAGGTATAGAAACACACCTTCTAAGAGCCTAGAAGCACATAAAGATAAAAATAGTGACGTTAATCTATACTTGCTAGGGAAAAGTCTTGAAAACCAGTTTCTTCTTTTTCAAACGCTGCTGTTCAGAAAGTAAAGCAAGGACCGTCCCATCCCTCCTGGCTCGGAGAGGTTGCATTTCTGAACGACCACTCTGGGCTGTCATCACCCGTTCCCAACACACGAGGTCTCTCTCGGGCTCTTTTTTCCCCAGGCTTCTCCTTTAGCATCCCAGCTTCTTACTAATTAAACGGTATCTTTCTATAGACAGTAATTGAATTACAGTCCCTTCAGTCTATCAAGGCTACAAAACACAAGCAAAAGTTGTCATGCTTTTTTTATACTAATGATTTGGTGGCAAAGTATTTGATCTAATTAGAGCACACAATTAAATTACTGATTTTATGAAGTACTGTAATTGGAAGACAGTATTTAGAAAACACTGTCAAAAATAAAAGCAACCATTTATAAGACGTCCTACAACAGATCCGCTCGCTAAGCTTACAAACTGGCTCAAGTCAAAGCGCACCCTAAGTGTGGCAGATGCGTGAGAAATCCAGCTGCTCGCTCGCAAGTTAAGGCAGGTAATCACACCAGGGAGTGTCTATGCGTACCTGGGGGACACAGCGCACTGGAATAACACGTTAAAGTGCAAAAAATGCACCGAGATTACAAGCTGCAGCTTTGATTCAAAACCGGAACGGTTTAGTCCCAAAAAGCTGGGCTGTAGATCTGACAGGAACAATATGCTTTCAATCCCTCATGGCTGCTACAAGCTTTGGGTTGCTTAAAGCACTACCACAAGGGACTTCCACACAAACAACGACACCGAGGAGGCTTGGGAGCTCATCTTATCTTGCTGAGGATAACCAGCAAAGCATACCAGCTGCCCGCAGACAAGGCAGCGCCGCAGCAGCACGGACCCTCCAAAGGGAAGGGGAGAGTTGCAGGCATCCGTGTGCCAGCCAATGAGCAGATTTTTTTTTTTTTCTTCTTCTTCTGAAGGAACGAAAAAAAAAATATACCTAAACCACTGCCAAGGACTTAAAGGAAAAAGCATTAAAAAAATTGATTTCACATAGCACAGACAATAAAAGGTCCATCTTCAGGGGAAAAAAAAGCACTAACACGTACCACAGCTAGGACAGGAGGTTAGAAATGACAGATCCGCAGCTCCTCTTTCCTCTCCGAGCTGCTGAAGGTCACACAATAAAACACAGTATTGGGGTGGTGGGGGTTCTCCCCTTACCCCAGCCCTGCATCTGTAACCTGGGGACAATATTTCGTTTCCTAACTGGGAAACTGGGAAAGAAGGGCCTTAACAAAAGCGGAACTCTATTCAGTACTAGAACAGAGAACAAATTCTATTCAGAACTAGAACAGAATTCAAACCTTGTTAACAACTGCGTGAAAAAAGGATATATTTTCTGCTTCTCTTCATTGTATAATACATCTACCAACAGGATAACATTTTTGTGCCGTAATCGTCGCAGGAGCTGGATTTCCCTGCAGGAAGAGAAAAGGGAAAAAGTTACATTTTAAAAGCCTATTTCCTTGTTACGGAACGAAATTAATGTTTTCGAAATCACATGGATTTTAAAGACAATTCAAACCACATCAGTCCCAGCTGCTTCACCCAAGACTGCCTATGCATGCTGTTTGTCAGAAGCTCTTGTGCGTTCTTGAGTTCATTAGCCCCAAGTTAGACCTTGGAAACACTGCTCACTGACCAGGACAAGCCCCCTCCCAGTTAACACGACACAGCCAGGCAGTTCTCTCTGGGACAGAATTTTAGTCCATTGGTGAACAACAGCAGGAGAACTATTGCAAGGAGCAACCTTCCTTTGTGACGGACAAGAAATTGGTCCCAAGAATGCCCTGCGCCAATGATTTGGTGCCATTCGACACAGGCCGTGTTACTTCTGCCAATATAAAGTTTTATTCTGTGCTCCCACGTAAGCTTTATTCCGGTTTTACCCATAAAATCTGTGCAGTGCTCCCCTTTAGCTATTTGACTGGTCAACAGTAGGATGCTGACAGCCAAACAGCCCTGCTGAAAGCGAGCGGGAACAGGACCACTGCAAGCTTGATCACAAACGCATCGTGCTGAGCCAACCTACAAAAAACAACTCCTGGTGAGATCCTGCTCGACCCTCAGACCCCAGGCTGGGTGGAAAGAGAAAGCAAGCTGAGGACACGTTCCACAAACCCCACAAGCAGCACTGGTGCTGGACATGTAAGGGCCTGGTGCAGCAAGCCAAGCTGCCTCCGCCTATACGAGAGGGGTTTACAGTGTCCCCTGCGGTCCCCTTCTCAGCTCTCACCCTTCCCTACGGCCCTGGGCAAGTGCCTCACCAGTCCCCGTTCAACCTAGTGCTGACTAAAGGAAAGGTATAATTAGACCTGAAACGCTGCCCTGTCAACTGCTCAGGCAAGTCAAAGCCTACGCCGATCTGCTCCGTGTGTCAGAGATGCAGCTTTATCAGCTCCCCTCCAATTAAAGCTTTTCCAACAACACTGGTCTGTTGGGAGCTTTGCTTGCTGTCGGTCTCTGCAGTTAACCCCCTAAAGATGCTCTACATTTGTGTTTACCATGGTATCTAGGACAGTCACCAGACAAACCTTTTATGTTTGCACTTTGTGCTTCTTTGTACGTAAGCGTCCTCTGTAGTTACAAGAGCAGAAATAAATTTGCTTGGGCTTTCAGTCTCTGCACTTCAGGGTATGTTTTTGATCAGCGTCGTGACCAGGAACAACCCCCACGGATGTCAGCGTAACGCAGCATCGTGCGGATCGGTGCGCTCCTGCTGTCACAGGCAGGCAGCGCCCGGTGCCAAGTGTGGCAGAGCAGTTAACGCACCGTACCGCCCATTTCAGCGCAAATGCTGTTCTTTTGCTGAGAAGCAACTTGAATGGTAGTTACTTGCCAAAAAAAAGAAGTAACAAGTTTCTCTACCTAACAAGCAATTCCTTCTGACAGCCGTTGTATTGAGAATGGATAGGAGTCCTTTAAACACAAACACAGAAACATCAGAAACCAGCTGATCTACTAAAAGACATAAATTAAATTAAATTGATTTTTTTATTATGTCATGTGAAATTCATCTGAAGAGGGGCTGTTCAG